GCCAATCCTTCCATCCTGTGTACCATCTCGACCTTGAAAGGGCCCCCATCGTCCTTTTCGGGTTGCTGACTGGCGCGTTGACTTGAGGCAGGAAGTAGGTTGGATGGAGTGTTTGGTATCGGCACGGGCGAGTTCATCATGGAATGCAGCTCAGACTCGTTGAGGGGTTGCGATGGTCTTGCGATGTGTTGCAGGGAACCCTGAGGCCCATCTGCGGGCTTGGGAACAGCCCTTGTGGGAATCGCTGCCGGGGTGGAGGGGTGAGAGTTGGTATGGCTGCCTACGGACGGCCTTCGCACATCGGCTGTGCTATTGGGCGGCTGCGAGGACGAACTCCGGCCATTTGTTGTGTGGAACTTGGCTAGCAATTCATGCCGGGTGGAGGATGAAGTGCCATGGCCGCGGCTATGACCGTGGCTGTGACCGTGGCCGTTGGCTTCATGGTGTTGGCGCGCATTGACAGCGACAAAACCACCGCCGCCAGGCGATGTCTGAGAAGCCTGGGTGTGCGGTTGGCCGTGCGCCTGGCCGTACCCTGAGCTCGGGGCGCTCGAGCTGCCACCATTCATAAGGGCGACATTCGAAGGGCTTGTGGGCCGGGGAATGGTAGGAGCTGGGCTCGCGGTCGCTCGTCGATCGAGGATGGCCTGCTTGCGGCCCTTCAGTCTGTGGTTGAGCTGCCGAGTGCGGGCAGCGACTGCGCGATGTTAGCCAATGTCGATGTTGGTTAGTGATAGTCGGTCAGACTCACCCTGATCAGCAAGTGAACATATCTGGCTCAGGTTCTTCTCCAGTATCTCCATTGTGCCCAGCTCCTTCTCCTCGTCTTCGATGATGGGCTGGGGTGGGATCATCTTCTGCGGAATGCCAGATGATATCAAGACGAAATCCTCCTCTGAGATCTGGACCCGACACTGCTTTGTGTAGAACTGGCAGACGCGCACGCCTTCGCTCATCTGATCCAGCTGGAACTGCTCGGGCTTGTTGCGCGCAAACTCGACCACGTCCAGCCAAGTCACAGTGGTCCCATCCTTTCCGTGACTCTTGAGCACGCGCGGTGGTCCGTCGAACAGCCGCTCGAATCGCTTGATCAGGATGGGTCCCAGTGGTCTTGCGCCAAGGTTGCAGGCCATGCTCTCATGGCGATCGAGCACGCCCTGGTAGTCGCTGAGGACTGAGAGAATGTTGGGTAGGGTGTCATCGTTCGTGATCAGCGGCAGGTCCTTCTCGAGGTGTCGTGCGAGGTAGTTGATCTGGAGGTGGTTGTGGGTCTTAGCGGCTTTGGGGACAGGCGCGGCCGCAGCCAGGTGCATCTCATGCGAAGGACTGCGTTTGCGCTTGAGGTCGGCGGGCAGCGGCGGCGCATGGTGTTGCGGCGGATGCGACGACATGGTGCGCTCAGCCGCAGCGTGCGAGTCGGCGGTGGCCATACCTTGGCTTGGGTGGGAGGGATACCAGGTTGATGAGTGCTGCGAGGGCGGAGTGGACGGATGGCAGAGATTCGAGGGTGGAGCGGAGTGCGCTAGGCGATGAACAGCTCACAGCTCAGCTCAGCACACTGCAGGCGCTCGCGTCTAGTCGCGAAGGCCCGAATTACAGGACAAGATACATCACGCAGAGAGAATCGCAGCGAGAGATGCGAGGGCGCGGGTGGAAAGCCAAACGGCTGCTCGGTGGCTGAAGTGCTCCGAACGGAAGGCAGAGGGGCGGACAAGGGAAGGCACGCAGCGCACCGGAAATAAGAAAGAGCTTTGCAGCGTACGCCTCCCACCCAATCAATACGCGTCTGCAGCTAGCAGCGGCCCCGGCGCCGACCTGCAATGAATGCGCATCGCTGATGATTCAGATTCTGCCGACCCGACCACGACAGCCACTGAGCGCCCTGCCACGGGCGGACACTCACGACAGCCTATTTGCAGACGCCCGCAAGCCTGTGGCAGAAGTGTGTGAGGTGCCGTCTGAAGAAGAGGCCGGCACCGAGCACCCCGGGCTGGCGTCGTCGTCGTCGTCTGGAGGGATGACGAAAAATGCCGCAGGCCCACGCGTCCTGGGTGAATCTAGCTGCTACGATGCAAGCGCCACAGCACGGCGGAGGTCTGGAAGCATGGCGGAAATCATGTTTCCACCCCTGCGTCGCCTGACACCAAAGCCACGCACGTGACCGGAATGTGGGGTGGGAGGAGCCTTTCCCGGAGCGGCACAGACCACCACCTCTTACTGGGCGCGGCGGCTGCACGTCACCACAAGCTTCAACATCCAAAACGCGTCTCTCCCTCTCCACGCTTCTACCATGTCTGAGCGAGGCGCATTCCGGGGTCGAGGCGGAGGTCGGGGCGGCGACCGCGGGGGACGCGGTGGCGGTCGTGGCGGTGCACAAGCGGGCGGTGCGGGCGGACAGACTGAGCGCCCGAAGAAAGAGAACATTCTTGACCTGAGCAAGTACATGGACAAGCAGATCACCGTCAAGTTCAGTGGCGGACGAGAAGGTATGCAAGGCAGGACAATTGGGAAGGAGCGCTGGAGCTAACCTCTTGCAGTCATTGGCACGCTCAAAGGCTACGACCAGCTCATGAACCTTGTCCTGGATGAGGTCAAAGAAGCGCTGACTGGTATGTCTCTGATCTTCGTCCTCACACCGACCTATCTGACTTGACCCAGACGAGGACGGCAACATCCGGTATCGCAAGCTTGGCCTTATTGTCGCGCGCGGCACTCTTCTGGTCGTCATCTCGCCCGTTGACGGAAGCGAGGAAATCCCGAACCCGTTCATACAAGAGGAAGAATGAGCAAGAGATGAGCAATAGGAATTCTTCAGACCTGGGGCGAATTGCTCTAGGCAGAGCAGCGGCGAGGATCTGGGCCCGGGGACGTTGGACGGGCAGTGATACCCAGTACGATACCCACGAGGCAGATGCAAAACGCAATTACGACACACAAGTGGTGGTCACAATATTACAGGTTGTCAGAGCTACCGTGCTCCTTAAGCCAACGGCCAATCAATACACAAAAGTTATGAAGTCTGGTCGAAATCATCACTTGGATGTCTGAGTTCAGTAATCTGCTTCAGAGACGCAGCTGCAACAGCCATGTTGGGTCATTATTAGCAGGCTCACTACAGAAGACTGACTTTGGCGTACTTGCGGTTGACCCTACCAGACAAATAATGTCAGTGGTCGCAACAGGCGTTGACTGCACAGCTTCTCTCACCAACAGCTAACGTGTTCTCGTCGCAAACCGAACAAGATCAGATCATTGACGCAGTTTTTTACTGCCGCCAAGGTTTTGTTTTCTATCGTATCATTGTCATGGTGCTACATTCGCGTCAGTCGATCGCAACATCGGAATTCTCGGAATGCTGTTCCGACAGTGTTCCTTTCATCAACACAACCCCTCACCAACCTCGACCTTTGATCATCGGCGATCACAAAACAAAATCTGATCAATCGCAGGACACCGGATCAAATTGCCGACGTCAGGTACCCGCTCTTCTCAGCAGAGCCCATCACCACAGATGGCTGAACTAGCGCAAGTGGGCATGACGTCGAGTTGATGTCAAAGGTGGTGACGCTATCATATGGGATTATAGAAAGCCCATGATGAAAGTTTACTTCACATAGCACACGACACTCATCTTTCTACCCAACAATCTTCACATATATCCATCCACTACATTACTTTTCAAAGCTCGCGATTTATATCAAATACACATTGCAAACATGAGCCAGAACCAGAACCCCGATGCTGTCAGCGACGGTCGCCAGTTTGCTGGACACGTCGCACCCAGTGAGCCCCTCATGAAAGGTGGTGTAAGTACATGCAGACCTTTCTCATTTTCGTGACAGATTCTTGCTTGATTGTCTCCTGACCTCATTGGAGCCCCCGTCAACACTACCAAGCTCCAAAACATATCATCGTCGAACCCAACTAACAAACCCCAGCACCAACCCGGAAAGCTCGTCGGCAACGACGCCGTCCCCGAGTTCAACGCACAAACCCTGCCCGCCGGCACCGCGCCAGCATCCAAGACCTTCCAGCCCAACCCCGACCTAAACAACCAGAAGATGTACCACCAAGCCTCCGACACTCTCCAAGGCGCCACTTCAGGTGACGTTCACACTGGTCTCGGCCAGCCAGTCCAAGGCCAAACATCGCAAGAACTCCACGATGGTTCCAGCAAGGGCCAGGGCCTGGCCGGCCTGGCTAGCGGCGTCAAGGACCAGACAACTGGTGGTGATATCAGGGAGCTGAAGGATGATCCTGCACATGCTGCTCAGAGGAATCTGGATGATGTGCCTACTGGTCAGAGGGGTAACGTTGGTGGTCCTCCTGCTGAGGAGAGGGAGCCTTCGTCTGCTTAGGTACTTTTCTTCACGAAGGATGATTGTATGAGCGTATCGCTTTCAGGAGGGCTGTATCGATCAGTCTCTGCTGGAGTGTAAGAGTTGCCTTGGATGCTACAATAGCTCGAGGCTAGATAGAAGTAATGAAATAACCGAACAACTGTATGACCGTCGAATCCCCTTGTGATGTGATTGAGGGTTTGTTGTATTCACTAAACACAGGCTTCATAACCCACGGGGGAATGCAGTCGACCCCGTCAACACCGTATCACTCAGCCCAGGCGTCATTTCGAAAAACTCCTGAAGCAGTTCAAGCATGGCAGTTTCACTACCTGGATAATGTTACCACACGACGCCGTCGAACAAAGTCATCGATAAACATACCTTGTGGGCCAACTACGCCAATGGCACCTGTAATGTACTCTATGTTGCCCGTGACTGACGATTTATACGGGTACTGGCCATCTGGGACATGTAAGTCAAGTGTTGCGTCGTGGTGTCATGGAACATGGCTTACAAGGGATGGTGAAGAACGGTAGGCCCGCAAGAACAGGTATATGGCTTGGCTTGTAACCAAAACCTTGCTTCTTGATCGCACCTTGTTCGAGTGATCTCCTGCGCTGGATCAGCTCTGCTTTACCTCCTCCGTCACATACTCGCTTACTTAGGATATTCGTGTCGGTACATAGGTTCCGTATCTCCACTCGGGAAGATGAGTATCTTGTCCAGACTATGTCCATCGGATGGTTGTGGTAGAATCATAGTACGTATCCAATCTCTAAAGGTGTCACGCTCCTTGACGGCTTGTTCGTATTGCTCCACCGTGAGGTCCTTGCCAAGAGACCTGACCGAACGATTAGCTCAAGTTTACCTCGTCTCCACCGTAATGACACACCATTTGTACTCGATAGAAGGATCGGCAAATGCCTTCTTATGGAACTCCTTCTTGTAGTCTCGCGCGAATGTCTGACAATTCTGATAGCAGTCATATAGCTGGATATGAGCAACAGTCTACTATGAGTGTCAGCAAATGTGCGAGAAGATAAAAGCGGGAATGCTCACGGTATCTAGATATTTCTTCAGTGAAACTCCACCAGCGATGCTTTGCCGCCTGAAGAGGCCATCTATATCGAGCTTCTTTCGCTTGACCTGCAGGAAGTCTTCCAAGTGACGCATGAAACGCCCTGTGTGGGATAGATACTTGTTTTGGCATTCAGAAAAGATATCAGTTGGGTACAATAGCTCGATTCCGGCCGCGCACGTTGGCTTGGTACTCTCGCGAGCACATAGCGTTCGAGACATCGTGGTAGCCATCTGAATGCTACGCGTGAAGAATCCGATAGTGTCGAGTTCTCTGTTCGTGCGTCAGTCTCATTTTCAGGTAGGAGTAAACTCTTCATGCTTACTTTGACACTGGTACAATCCCCTCCGTCGATATGCCACCTAAGGATAGGCGAAGTCCAAATAAGCCGTGATCGGCTGCAGGGCCTACTACGCTTCCAAATGCTACGGACGCATTAGTCCGATAGAAGCTTCGAACGAAAAGTGAGCTTACTATCAGTCCCTAAAGTGGCATCTATCCAGTCATACGCTGACACAGCTGTAGCGCTTCCTGTGCTACTGCCACTAGGTTCTTGATACCCATCGCCTCTAGGATTGAACGGTGCAGAGTAGTCAATCCAATCTCGGGCATTTTCTCCAGAGGCAAATTGCACTGTTTTCGTTTTGCCTACAATCACTGCCCCGGCCTCTATAAGCTCTTGAACACAGGCGGCGCTGCGTTCTTTCTCGGGATACAAGGTCTGGTAGGCCCGGCTGCCAGCGCTTGTCCGCACTCCCTTCAGATCGATGTTGTCTTTAATGGCTACTCTAATACCAGAAAGAGGCATGGATTTGGAGGGTTTGTCATGATAACAACGACTAGGGACTGGAATCGCAGCTGTTCCAGGGATGCCAAATCTATGAACAGGTTATTAGCAGAGCCTAGTGTGGAAGAGTGCGCATCATGCTGGAGCAAGGAAGTACGCACGTATGCTCTCTATGCTCATCAGGAACCACTGGAAACTGAAAAGCTTCGTTCGTGTCGTCAAACAAGCGCCATGCCTGATAAATGCCAGCGTCGGAGGCAAAATATGGTCCACCGCAGAAGCTAACTAGATCTCTATTTGAGTTCACCACCACGGCATGAACGCTTTGGTTTTTCCACTCTTCCGGTATGCTGATGGCCAAAGTGTCCAGGTAACGTTTGGTGTTTGCGGAAACCAAGAAGTAGACGTGTTTCAGGAAATGCTTGTTGAACACATCATCTGTCTTGAGCCAGGACTCAACGGTAGAGGACAGGTTGGGTTCTGACGCATCTCTCGCGTTCTCAAGAACAAACAAAGCGATTGGAATCAATCCGTCGTTGAAATCAGGCGCGCAGCCAAAGACACATTCGCGGGAATCTAGAGATATAGACGTTAAGCGTGATGGAATGTAGTACGGAATCGCTCCGACGCGAGTAAGCGTCGCAGTGGGAGTGGCAGACATTATGACGATTGTTAGCTCGCATGCAAGTGATGAGTATGCAGAGGTGTATCTAAGAAATCATCCAGGCATCAGGAGAGGTCTAAGGAAGGTGTGAGTCTTTCGTTTGTACAACATCCGCTGTTGGCCAATGCCTATTGGGGATCGCACGTTCACCTCCCTACGTGAAGAACACGAAGACTTGTTTGGCCTTGCAAACGCAAAAGTGCTCGAGCAAGATGGTGCAGTAAGCGTGTTACTATGATGCTACTTAAACATTAAATTATCTCCTGCTGCCCTGAGGACCAGACAGGATGCATCCGTCAGCACACTCCGGATCCGTGCTGTTGTATGCGATTTGCCCTACACTGCCACCAGGCTCGATACTAGGGTCACGCGGGCTCTGGAACATACGTCCAGTCTCTGGTGACAGTAGCGTCTCGATGATATCGCCGAAGGGGTTGCGGATATGAGCAATGGGCTGGCCCTTGGTGACCGGCTCGTCGACTTGTACAAGCCTCTCGACAAAACCTCCGTACTGCGACCAGGTGTCGTGGAAAGTGGTGATCATGTATGTGTTGCTTAGATCGGGCTCCACGGTCTCGTTTGTGCCTGTCATCTTGAGGTCGACCATGACGCGGTTTACGTAGTCGACTACGCGGTCGATGAGGCTGTTGTTCCAGACCTTTGCTTGTCCCATCTCTACTGTGAGCGAGGGAATGCCGTAATCGACAAAGGTTGTCTCGATGGAGCCTGGCTCACCAGGATCGATCTTGAGGGTATCGGGTTGAAGGAGTTTGGCGAGGCGCTCGACGTAGGGTAGGCGGAAGTCGGAGTAGCACCACAGCGAGGTTTCTCCGCCGGAGCTGGGTGTGTCTGAACCATGTTAGCTGAGAATTGGTAAGTGCTGGACGTAACGAGCTTACGCAGGTCAATGCCAACGTCAACATTTGACGTGTTGGCCCAGATCTGGTTCCAGATGTTGTACGCCAAAATGTCAGGACCACTGCCTCCTTCCATGGCCGAGACACCCGGGAAGATGCGGTTGACGTTTGTGAGAGAACCACTGGCACCAGACGTGAAGTAGTTTCGCTGGTTGAGATAGATTCCCATGGGATTGACCGTCGGAATGCCAATGACTGCGTGGGCGTTAGCAATGATCTCCGTGAAGATTCATGGTACATACCTGTGCCATTGAGCGTCGCGACTTGGTCTTGGAGCTGCTCGAACATGCGCTGAACCACGCGAACCGGGTTCAACTCATCGCCGTGAATCGAGGCTGAAAGCGACAGCTTCTTTCCCGTATGCAGACTCTCCGGGGTTCCACGCGCAACCATGATGGGGATATGCACGGGGTGTCCGCCATTGAGCTCGCCAGCTCGCATGTAGTACTTGGACACGGTTTGCGGAGGCACGTCAGCGAGGTCGAGACCGCTGATGACCGGGACGCCGTTCACAACATCGCCCGTGAAGTTTACAGCAGAAACGCTGCCGGCGAGGACTGCCGTGGCTGCGGCTACGCGAGAGATGAGCTGCATGGTCGCGTTAGTTGGCTGAGGCTACGCAGGTACCATTGACATGGCCGACTCACCAGCTCTACTTTATAGTGCTGACTTCTCGCGATAAGGGACCAGCCATCGTAGTTCCGTGGTCCATACTAGCTCCGCTCTTTGCGCAAAGAGGAAGGTCCACATGGGTTTTGTCCACTCGAGTGACGATGCCCAGAGGCGACTGCATGCCAATGCTCGGCGCGCCTGTCAGGCCGAACCCAAGTTCGCGGATTGCGATGCAATCTTCGCGGTTTATGGCCGGTGCCTGGCGATCATCTCGTTGTCGGATACATGCGGATAGTCACAAGTTGAGAACACAATGGCTCTTAAGGCAAAGTCGTGTTCTTGGACTTCGAGCTGATGTTGTGGAATCCGTAGCTTGCGCGAGTCATGTAGCGCCGGTATCGATAAGCTCACTGTCAGCACTGGACATCACGGTGACAGTCTGACCTTCAAGCTTTTCACCAATTTCGGCGTATCGGACATATTCATGTTATAACTAGCAAAGCTCGTCTACGTACGGCCGTTGCGGTCGTCAGCCACGCGTTGACATCGTAACCCCGCCATTACCCTCGCCGCTCATCATCCCATTGTGCTTGTCTGGCTTTGCATTCTGCAATATCTTGGGCTGAAAAGCCACAGCGTTCAAGCTCTTCTTCTATCTTTGGCTCCCCCGACTTTTTTGGGCAGAAAGAGAATAGGGAGGACACTGACGAAATCGCGCGAGCGATGATGTTACGCTTTGCTCTGGGTCGTGAAGGGAGGTCTGTTGGGAAAGGAGTGAAATAGTACGCGGGATTAATGTTGTTTGCCATGTCTAGTGGGGTGAGTTGAAGCGAGCTCTAAGAGGAGTGTCAAAGACGAAGCGATCTGAGCCGTAGCGAAAGCGCTGTTGCCTCTGGAAGTAGCGAGGCGTTCGCAATGGCGGCTGGAAGTGTCATCGACCATTCACTTCCTCTTTCCCTTAATCGTCACAGATTCACGCTGGGCATTCCCAACTACACTTTTGGAAGGCTTGTTTGGCAGCGCAGCAATTTCGAGAAGCCCAAATACAGCGATCTGCTCTTTGTGTACGTACTCGCAGGTCGCGTTCATGCATTGTCGACCATAGAAACAGGTGGTGCTGTAGGTTGGCATTACAACAGGGATGTGATGGCTGTGGTCGTAAACAGGACTATCATGGGTTAGCTCTTGTTACATGGAATGTTCAGCTTGATGTCAGACTTATCGAGTCTGTGACTTCTTCTCTTTGACAGCCGGACGTTTAGCAGGCGGTGCGAGAGCTATGTCTTCGGCTGAGCGTGGTGTCTAGCGATTGCGCACACGAACAAAGTTGATTCACTCCGCCCGTTTGATTCAGACGTAGCAAACTTGGGTGCCTAGAGCACTGTGGATCAGCACGTGAACTCATCGCACTAGCCTCCCCTCTCCGCGTATATAAATCCCCGCACTTCCTCTTCTCCTCCTCGCTACAACTCTTGGAGTTCCTCTACCACCCGCGTTCAACCGTGCAAGAGGTATCTCGATCTTTTCAGGCCTCTTGCCTCCCATCTAAGCGCTACGCGATGCGCCCCTCCGTCCAATAAGTCGGCATTGTCGCTACTGAGGTCCCGTCAGATTTCGCTCCTCCAAACGTGTGCTGCGGGTAACTGCGGGAAAAGCGATCGAAAGATCGACGCACGTTATATACCGAGCTATACGTGCTGCAGGCAACTGCGGGCAAAGCGAGTCGTGGGGTTCGACGCATATCGTAAAACCAGACATGTGCTGCAAAAGACTGCAGGTAAAGCGAGCCGTGAGGTTCGCCGCATGTCTGCGACATGTGCTACGGGCGACTGTGGGCAAAGCGAATCGTAAGATCCGACGCATGTCGGGGAACATACCGTGTGTCGCAGCGGAACTGTGGGCAAAGCGAATCGGAAGGTTTGATGCACGGAGGGAGCTGTGGGCCACAGCTTTTACTTGGGGTAACGGTGGACATGCTTCATCGCACGGCGAGGGATATGCAGCATGCGAGAGCTGGCTGTGAGCGATTTGCTCACATGGTAGGCGAAAGCCGATGCCATCTTCTTTCTTCATACTGCACGGATGCGTGTCGATGCGCGGTCACTGGAGACTTTCTTTTTCGTTGAGTCTTGGCTCTTGCAGCCAGTCTTGAAGAAGAGGATAGATGAAGTATCGAGGTAAGACAGAAGGTGTACAGTAATGCAAGTTACTTCATACTGTGCCGTTTAACCTCAGCCATTGAGACTTGCCATCGCATAGTTTATCCACCGATGAACTCTTCCCTTCTTGCTTCTATCCTGACCGTCTCTCAACTCTTCCTCATGCCTAATATCATCCTTCTTCTTTTCGGCTTTGCGCTGTTCCTCCAGTTTCACTTGCTTTTCCACTGTAAAAGGTCAGCGTGAAACTCTGGATCCAGGTGAGGAGGAGTAATCTACACTCTGCTTTGCTGTAAACGTTGGCTCCAACTCCTGCACTATCCATGATGATGACTGTAGCAAGATGCGCTGACGACCGTAAAAAGATAATGTGTGGCTGGACAAAGACTCCAGGTCAGCGACGGATACGGTGTAGCTTTAAGTGTATGCAGTGATGATCGAAGGATTCGCTTCGATGCAGGCGGCGAGGCTGAGCACTGCCTGCGCCGTAAGACATGGCACGAACTAGCCGTAATCAGCAACGACTGTGCGGAGACACATGTGCCGCTACATAATGAGCAATGACGGTCAGCATAATGAATTGATACTTCATAGTCATATTATGATCGGTACTTCTATGTTAGACAACAACCCTAGAGTTCATTGCCTGTGGTATCCACATCATCATCCTCATCGCAAGCCATCGCACAATGCGAAATGGCCACAACATGTCTTCTACTGCATGAACTTCTCAACATCGGAGAAAGTTAAGCGCCCATTCGAAACCTATTTCTTGGAGGCGACTTTGGCGAGGTCGGCAAGGGCCTCGCGGCGCTTGAACTTGGCATCCTGGATTACGCCTGCGTATGTCAGTATCACCCCAATACGGAGAGGACTAGTCCCACTTACTGGCATCGGCGTCGCTACTGAAGTTGCCAGACCATGTGATGAAGGTCTTGCCCTCGTGTGCGCCGGAGGTGACGGGGTATACGCGGATGGTGGACACGACGGAGGAGTAAGAGAGCTCGGGCTTGGAGGTGATGACAGAGTATGTGATGAAGTGGTCGATGGACTACAATTACGAGTCAGTGGCTGCTGGTGTTGTTTGCACCAATGCATCACTTACGGAGTGCTCCTCCTGCTTGACCTCAAGCTCGGCGCCGTCCTTGAAGGTCCACTTGACGATGTCGGTCTCCTCTGAGGTGCCCTTGACAAACTCGCTCTTGTCGAGCTTGGACCAGAACTTGCTGAAGTCCTGGAGCTTGATCAGGTGCCAGACATCGCTGAACGACGCGTCGATGACGGCTGACTCGCTGACCGAGGTGGAGGTGGGGATGGATCCAGACATGTTGGTTTGGGTGGTACAATTGGGGTCTTCTTAACTGGTTATGAGGTTTATGGGTGATGCAATGAAGATTGGTAGTCAGGGTCGTTGGCAGAAGAAGAAGTTTGGTGGGGCGCGCAGTTTGTTGCAGACTAATGGCGTCATAGCGAGCTGCACTTCGGAAAGCTGCAGCTACCCCTCCTCCGCATCGCGACTGCTCGACTTCGCCACTAGGCGCCCCCATCCTCATGTATCGTGACATGTGGGTGCATTCTTCGTCTTCAGTACCCTGGTTTAAGAGATACACAGGACAGTAGCCCTTCGCTTGGCCCCCTCACACGACCGACAATCGTACGTCTACCCAGCTAGGTAAGTAATACAGGACCTCGGACGGCTACAATACTGCAGACCACACAAATTATCTCTCTCAGATCGCGCTGCATACTGCAATGTGGTACAATATTTGTCAAGGTTTCCCGGTTTCACGCATTGTAAACGGTTCTCTTGTCACCACTCCCGACACTCTCTACAGCTTGAGCACCTCCGCGCTTTTCCTTTCGAAACCTTTCCAATACATTCTCTTTTTGCTTTTGCATGCGGGCAGGTGATACCTCCGCCAGCGTTCATGACCTATCCCGGGGACCCAGGGTACACCACCGTGTAATGACTGTAGCCAATCATGATCCGTCTGCCACAGCCACCGCCACATCGGAGGAAATCAAGCCCCGACCCACCAGCCGTCTGGACGCGCAACGCCCGTTTGCCTTCTCACCACCCTGCTAGGCGACACTCGAGGCACGCGGCCTGGAAGCCTATCGTCGATGGCTCTTCTGGTAATTTCTTTATCCTTCTTTCGACTTTCCAAAGTCATGGGTGATTGGTCTCTGCACGCAAATGGCGCGATTGGTAACCCGGGAGGCTGCCCATATGGGTGGCAAGTAAGTCAGAGGAGGGGTGCACGTACGTACGTTCGCACGTGCGACTTGATGCCTGGAGCCGTTTGCATTGTATAAGACGCCGAAAAAGGTAGGCTATGATGCTCAATCTAAACACCGCACTTCCTTCTACTTTACGACACAAGTCATCATCATGCCCTCAGTCACATACATGAACAACTCAGCTCCCTTCTGGGACTTCGTCGCTGGCCTCGAGCAGCAAGGCTCGCAACACCCATTCTTTGCACAGAACCGTAACGATGACGGCGAGAACGATCGCGAGACGCCGCACCAAGGCCCCCAGGATCCCTTTGCTCCATTCAGATGGGGTCAGTTCTTCGGTGGCGAAAGGGGAATGCCTCACCGTGGCGGGCCTCCTCATGGTCGCCCCGAACATCGTCATGAGAGGGCTACCGGCGAGTCGAACCAAGAACGCAATGACCAACCTGAAGCCGAAAAGGATGCCACTATGAACGCCGAGTACGACAACGGTGAAGGCCCATCGGGCAACTCTGGCTCCGACAACGACGCTCACAACGGTGGCCGACCACATGGTCGTTGGGGTGGGGGACGTCGAGGACGCTGTGGCCAGGGCGGCCCTGGAGGCTCTGGCCCACACCATCACTCCCATCCCTACGGCGGCTCACCTCGTCATGGCCCACACCACCGTGGCCACCGCGGAGGCTGGGGGCCATGGGCACGCGGAGGACCTTTCGGAGGCATGGGCGGCGGATCTTTCGGTGCTGGTCATAACGCCTGGAACTCCTTCGACCCCTCCACCCTTGCCGCCCAGCTGTTCAACCAGTTCACAGACAGCCACCCCTCTAATACCGCCAACGCTACCAAGCCCACCGAGGCCGACGACTACACGCCCGACGCCGACATCTTTGACACCGAGTCTGCCTACGTCGTTCACGTCTCGCTTCCTGGCGCCAAGAAGGAAGATGTTGGTGTAAACTGGGATGCTGAGAAGAGCGAGCTCAGCATCGCTGGTGTGATATATCGCCCTGGTGACGAAGAGTTCTTGAAGACATTGGCCTTGAACGAGCGTAAGGTTGGAGCTTTCGAGAGGAAGATCCGCCTTGGGACGAGGGCCAACCCTGCCAGTGTTGACGCCGACGGTATCACGGCGAAGCTGGAGGATGGTGTGCTCAGAGTTGAGGTGCCAAAGCTAGACTCTGGGTACGTTGAGATCCGTAAGGTGGATATTGAGTAGGGAAGACGTTGTTATGATTACAGAGAAGCAGACAGATGACCAGGCTATGGTATGTCATGGGTTAGTTTTCTTTCGGATGTTTGGATCAATGGTATTGCTATATAAAGAACTGTTTCTATTATGACGTCCCATGCGTGTTTGCTCAGTTCCCCTGCCGTTCTTTCTCCTTACATGTGCTTGAGCCAGGTCACGGCAGACCACATAACTCAGTGAAAGATGAAATGACTTTCTCCACTGGCTACTTCCGGCTTCACCGGCTCGCAGAGCGCAACGTCAGTGAAAGGGTCGGTTCAAAATCAGCGCTCACCTCCGATAAATGGGCCCACTACTCAGGCCCAAGTTTGCGTCACATCAAACACGTCTCGTTACCTTTGACTCTCAACTCTGACCTATACCACACCAGGAAGTTCAATTACGCCCTTCTCCAAAGCCATGACTCCTCCTACCGAGCTCACTCCACCGATGGAAGAACCACGCCGATTCCCGACAGTCGAAGACGAGACTCCCACTGGTGAAGCCAGTCAGATAGTAACGACCATGTCGACTTCTGGGTCATCTGCGGCTACAGAAGAAACCGCCACCTCTTCTACTGTAGCAGCTGTCGAACCACCACCTCATGACATCGCCGACATCGTCCTCTCATCACTATCAGAGCACACAAAGCCTCAGCCCATGGACTCCGCTATCAAGAGCGCAGACGGCGAAAAGTCTCACCCCGGCTCTGCTAAGCGCAACGCTCATCTGCCTCCACCAGTTTGCATTCAATCTGGACGAGGCTACATGTATTTCCCACGTACATCGCTATCAGAGCACACGAAGCCTGAGCCCATGGACACCGTTACCGAAAGCGCGGACGCAGAAAAGTCTCACCCCAGCTCTGCTAAGCGCAACGGTCATCCGCCTCCACCAATTTGCATTCGATCTGGACACCTGCAATACTACACCTCTTTCCCACGTACATCGCCAGAGCAAGTCTCTTCGATCTTCCCAACTGAGCTTCCGCCACGTCCTCCACAGAAGCAATCGTTCTTGAAGCGGCTGCAAGGTTCATCTGCGCGCCCTGCTCAGACTGACAAACAAGTGTCCCACGACCACACTTATCGCACGCCCGACATCGAGATGGCTGCACCTGATGAGGCCCCGCGCTCTCATGATGTGAGCCGGTCTCGAAGCCTGATGTTCTGGCTCTTGATTATGCTTGGTATCTGTTTGAGCAGTATCATTGGGATTGTCATTCACTGGGCTGTGACCCGTGAGGAGTAGACGGCTTGAGGCAAAACGCGGCTGAGAGGGATGTTGGATTGAAGCACTGGGATTGGATAAGCGGGAATTATGAAGACCAGTGGGACTTTTTACGGACGTATGGCAAAGCATTCCGAGAGCCTAGCATCGTATGAACATGGATGTCTTGCGAGCACTCAGGTTTTGGAAGTTATTGGTGCCTTATGCGCAGCTGGCGACGTTGCGCGCAAGTCTTCACCTCACACAAGAAAGAAATTGAACAATCTGAAGCCTACAGTGTTAAGGAGTGAGCTACTTTGCACGTTTCTATCGCAATGCAGTCTACAAACGTGTTCAGCTTTTCCCTTGTCGGAGGAGAATGTAGGCGGCAGGCATTTCGACGACTAAACACATAAAGCTTTCACTTCTGTGCTTCTCTTGCAATCCGGTGCTCCTGATCCGGATACTTGGTGATGCCCGGCATCCTGCGGCATGCTGTATTGGAAGATGTATACTGCATTTCAATTCGCTACTTTTTCTGCATTGGTACCTAGATATTGGAATAACAAATCAGCAAAGGAATCGTGCTGCTCAATTCGAAGTGCTTCACTTTATCGTCATCACCCGCGCTCAATGACTTCACCAACGCAAACACGCACCACATCGAAAAGAGAGGCCGATACCTCTTCCCTCCCAACATCTCTCCACAAAGAGGTTGGACAAAACAATAACACTCCCAGCCCCCCAGCCCTCTAGTACAAGACCGCGCAATGCCGCCAACTCTCGCCCATCGCACCTAGCTCATGATATTGGCCTTCCTTTTCCCGGGAGCCCGGGTCCAACATATCGTGACCTGAACTAATGCTGCGCGTTGTTAGGTGCTGACCATCGTACCACGTTTCCGTGTCATGCACGCGGTACCGCGCCAGAGGCCGAGGCTGTACCAAGGAGAAGCAACGGGTAGCGCTACGGGCGGAACTTCGGATTTGCATCGCAGCCTCGGTATAGTTGCTCCGGACACGGAAAATGAGGTGGTCGGTTGCTGATCTCCGATGGGGAGGCTGGGGGAGTGCGATAAGGGACTTCGGGTACCTGACGCGTTCCTCCCTAGGAATGCAGGGCCGTGGAAATGACGACCTGGAGTTGCATTGATTGGGTCACAGATGTCATTGATCTCAAGGTGGCGAAGGGGAGCTTGGTGGAACGTGTTGTTCGTTTCAGAATTATCATTATTACCATAGGTAAGGTTTCGCGAATAAGCAGCGCATATCTATGATGCGAAAACGAGACGCCGTCTTGCCCAGGCATACACAACGGAGTGTCATGTGAAGTAAATGAAGAATAAGAAAGGATACAATGAATGGAAAACGCGTCGTAGCAATCAACAATAACTATCTCCGTAGCCCAGAGTCTCCAGGGAATAGGATGCCGTTGGGGTGAAACTCCCTGTGGTATGTTTGCCAGTTCTTGCATGTTCTCTTCATCTCTGCGAAACCATCCTTGGCCTTGATCTCGGACGAGCGCTCAAGGAATTGTACACCAAGACCGGCAGCCACATGGAAGGGGATGTGGCAGTGCATAAGCCACGCTCCGGGATTATCGGACTCGAAGGCGAGAACAAGGTAGCCTCTGGCGGGGAGGTTGGCTGTGTC